CCCCCCGGCCCCCCGGCAGCCCCCGGGCAGGGCGCTGCCCCTCTCCCGCTTTCCTCCAGAAAGTACCCAGGTATCAGACGGAACAGAGGGACGGTATTGAGCGAGCAAGTGAAGCGGAAATTTAAAGACCCTCTGCTAATAATAACAGTATAAATAACCGAAGACGTCTTGTAAACAGTGCGGTCATAACCCTGAAACATTAAACAGCGCGGTGGGATCTGGCGCATCAGCTGCCGGCGGCGGCGGCCGCTGCCGGGGAGCGCCCCGCACTCCTGTTTATCCCAGCCCCGTCTCCCACGGGCGCGCTGATCGATAGAGGGGAGATGTTTAAGTTAAAAATTCCCGGCGCCGAGGACCGGGGCCAGAGGGGAACCCTCCATCCGACTGTACTTCATCAATAGCCAACTGCTCCCGTCCCCCCGGAGCGGTGCGGGGCGGCGGGGGCGGCTCCCGCAGCGCCCGGGCGGCGGGGCCGGGCCGGGCTCCCGCGGCGAAGACGGGCTACGGGCGCAGCCACCCCCTGCCCCGGGGATTTGCTCCGTATCTGCGGGTCCCGGCCCGGGGCGAGAGGCGGGCTGCCGGCGGAGCGGCGGAGGCCGGCGGAGGCGCGGGCCTTCCCCCGCCGAGCCCGGGCGTCGGAAACGAACATTACACCGCTCTGTGTTCAGTGGAAAGGAAGGTTTATTCACAGAAATAGAGCAAAACCTGCTTGAAGAAAATATATCTATATATCTTTAGGGTGAATTACTTCATAGAGATGACTGTCAAAGTCAGTTTTTCTAGGCATCTACATATTTCACAGGTCTCAGACAGAAGACAGACGCGTGGCAGGTTTTGTTTGATCTCTGTCTCTTTTCTCTAGTAGCGCTTGAACCAGCAAGGCTGTTGTTGCAGGACACTCGACTGTACACGCATTTAATAAAGTTAAATAGAGTCGGGATCTCTCGGGGCGGAGTCTTTGCTAGGGCACATTTGGTCTCCTCTGCGCCGGGAGAGCGGCTCTCCCCGTCGCTCTGCCCGGGGCCCGGGGCAGCGGCGGGGCCGCGGCGTGTCCCTGCCCG